ACTTTCCTCTCGAAGTAGCTCTTCTACCTAGTTATCGAATATTCATTGATAGGACAGAGGCAAAGTTTACTTTATAAAAATTTCGTTCAACGTTTCACCTTGTACTTTTTACACAAAAAAATAAGACATTGACATAACAGAAATATTTATTGTAGCAATATCTTAGAAATAGAAATCGGTTAGAAAAATACGATTGGGTTGTGGAGATGTATGAGAGGAATGTTAAGTAGTAACGGACATTAGCAAACAGACACTGTCTGGTCTTCGCATGCGTTAACCACTTGACATGAGACAAGCTTTTAGCACCTGATAGCCATTAAATTGTAATTTTTTTGCATTCGTATGTTCAAGGAATAAAACGAGTGCTTTGTCGATCAAAAATACCCATTTGTAGGTCGATCTCAGGTCTTTTGTTCAACCGCTGTTGAAGAAATTGTGCGATAAAACAGGAAGAGAAAATCTCCGCTTAATACGAACGAGAGAAAGAGATAGAGGTGGAGGACTGAGGATAGAAAACAGAGACAAGAGTCCATTGTCTTGTCGCTTGGTCGTATGTCTTCTCACTGTTACGTCACCATTGTTTATTCCAATTCTGTACAGCTTCTCTGTGCTACCTCCAGCAGTTTTATTTCACCACTTCGATGCCCATTGTACAGTGTTCTTATTCCTTACAATTGGATATAACTAAGAAAAATAATTTTTTGTTGTAGTTAAATGTCAATACCGAAAGTTTCCGTACTCATGCTGTATGAAACAAAACAATTGTTACTTCAAAATTTGCATTTTATATATATAGAAAATTTTATAATCCTATGATCTCTCTTTCAAATTTTACAAAATACATTTATCAAAGTAATTAGGATTAATTAAGTTAATAATTAATAGATAATAGAAACATTATGAGGAGTATAACACATTTAGAATCATGATATGAATTTATGTAAATTTCCTGCTGGCGATATTGCATTATCATCTTAATTGATCATTTCTGTCATCTTTTGATCTTTGATCAAAGAGATGCACAAATAAATGGCGTCGTCTCATATTCACGTGTTACCAAGACGCATAATGCGTCATGTCATCTTACGCACAAATCGTGCACGCGTCCTTGTCCCAGATTGGTTGCCTAGGAATACACCGCCGCTTGCCGACGGTGGCCGACCAACTTTTCGCTCTATCTTCGTTACTCGACAGTAGAAATAGCCACGTTACGCTCGGACGAGCGCGAGGCAGTAAATCGGTGGTTGCGATCTACCAGTGATTCGTCCGTCATGCATCCAGATCCCTCATAGGTGCTTTCCCGAATTATAAATTACTTGAAGTCTGGAAACAAGTTAACATAAAATATATATACACAAAATACACATAATATACACAAAATATTTTCCAGCCTCGTCGACCTTAAGTCTTTTTCAAAAAAAATTATATATTATATATTATAATTATATATTATATATATCATAATTATATATATCATCTTACGAAAGTGCTGAATGTTATTTCATATGCTTAGAATATCGACCGTCAATATACGGAGGCGAAATGTCAATAAGTTTCGATTATTTCGACCTTCTATCTCGCGATCTCCGTATCAATCTTAATCTCGTCGCATACCACTTTCAAAACCAATGTTATATATAATTATAATTATTATTAATGCAGACGCTGACATGGTGATATATTAGAAATATAAACATGATTTATATCGAGCGCTAATCTAAATGATTGCGGTTAATCATCGGTTGTCGAAGCTTCGCGCATTGCAGGTGACGCCGCGATAACATAACAGTGTCCGTATATGGCGGCGGTCTGTAATGGCTAAATAAGCGAGCGACGCGTAATAATGGTGCTGCCAGGTGAACCAATTATTCCTGAACACATCCCACGCACGTTTATGCAGATCCGAGGCGATTGCCTATCTCGTTATGCGTTATGATTCCGGCGCCTAATATTATTAGGCTACCGGGTAGCGAAGCCGACCTATTCTTGTTTAACGCAGCGTATCCGCGCGATGCAAATGCCGTGTCCGCGCGTTCCCGTTCGTCGTGATGAGCAATCAGTAGCAGAATCACATATCACGCGCTCGAGATGAGCACTTTACGCTAACCTGAAACATACGCGTGCGATTTGGAACTCGTGCCACGCGAGTCTCACGTGATGAATACGTTCCGTACGCATTTGATATGAGCCTCCTGTAACATCTTATTGGGATGCTGTAAGCGCTTGTTAAACATCTCCTTTCCTGAACTCCTTTCACAGTCTTCTAATTGAACAACAAAATATTTTTCTAAACTCACGTAATTTTCTGGAACTGAAGCCAATCGAACAATTTAATTATCAAAGAAAGAGTTGAACTTATACTTTTTGTAAAAGTCTTTCATCAAATTCTACTGTTTCATTAACATTAAGGGTAGTGCATTATAAGAGAAATGTAAGTTCATGCCCAGCAAATTTCAAAGTAAATATGTGAGCGCCGTACGCTCACGATCATGATCATAAATAAGCGATCAATCACTTCGATTCAACGCGCAATCCTAATTGCCCCTTAACGATAATTGCGCCCTCCGTCATAATTTTCCCTCATTGTCGGCGCGCGTTGTCCCGCGCTAAGCGTTAGTACATTAGGCATTCGTCACGAACATCTGGTACACATGCGACGATCGTGAATATGCGGTACGTGCGTTCGTTGAATGATTTGAAAGAAGAAGTTCATTATGACTCGCGTGGCGCACGGTAGCAAGAGGGTAGAACTTGCGGATCGTTCTTGCGATTTTTGTATACACGTACACTTCGACGCGCAATGCTGGACGATGAATTATTAATTACCGGCCGTTTATTTGTAACTACCAGCGTAGCTACGTCGGGTCGCATAGCGTCCGATTAAAGGCGTGAGAAAGAGCCACGGGAAGAGGAAAGCAATGTGAAACAGCAGGGAGAAAAGGGAGAAAATGTTTTCTCGACTCTTTTTTGGCCAATATATTATCATACTAATGTCAGATGCCGGAGGATAGAGTTTAGGCTAAACTTCGAAGAACGTATTCTGGAATCTCGAAGCAGACAGCTTCACCAAATACACCTGACGTGTGTATGTCTTAATGATCTCCCGAGCGAGCCATTTGAGCCGGCAACGGTTCGCGGCGCGCGGCCTTTAATTTCGGTATCGCAGCGGCGCGGCACAAATCGCAGACGTTCGTCAATTTGGTCTCGATCTGAGTCTCGGGAACCGTTTTCTCGTGCGCGCCAAATAACGGCAGCATGCATGCGTGAGCGCACGGAATCGACGTGTGCGATCGATCACGCCGAGAAAGACGGCGAAGACGACGTAGCCGGCCGGTTTACCGGCGGTGAGCCGAGAGTTGCCGTAGAAGGACCGACGACTGGAGGCCGTTCGAATGAGTAGAGGGGTCTCCGCGAGAAACGCAACGTCAGTACCCATACCACGGAACGAAACGCGCACACGTGCGAGTGCGATCTCCACATAACGCGAGGAGACACGTGCGCCATAGTACGTTGCGCGTAATGAAGCGGCCGGAGTGTGCGTATGCGAGTGGAAATGCATGAATCAAACAAGCCCACGCTCTTGCCGATTGTTTTTCTGTTCGAGTAGATATATGCGCGATGTGCGCACGCATGGCTGAAAGCCATCAATGAGATTGTCGCTTGATAGTAGATCGCGCGCTCATTATTTATACGTGCGCGATGCGATTCCCCGCTTCGCATTCCCCGCTTTATGGTTTATTATTATTGATTGTAAAAATATGACGTCTTTAAAGGCCCATTATTGGAACAAGTATGAGAAAGTGCATGTGGCCCACTTACACTGAGATGGCTCAGAAAGTGCTCGAATCAAATATATACGATCTTACGTGTCAGCATACGTCCTGAATACACACACGTGCGTTTTTCGTACCTGTGTTTCAAAGGGAACCGAAGAACTGCGCGATTTGGAGTCTGCGAGATCGCGGCGTGCATATCTGCACGCACGTGATCGTCGTGCATGTGTTTATATGGAGCCGCGACGAGGAAAGGCAGCTCCGAAACTCCATATCACCATGCTAACTTCTTGCGTAGGACGCGCAGGCTTGGCAGCCGATGATGATGACGAGGACAGACCCCGGTGGTGGTGGAGGTTAACGCGAATGACGGTGATGGTAGTGGTGGTGGTGGTGGTCGTGATCACTATCGTACGGCATTTGCAACGCACAGTGCCGTTTCTGTGCTCCCGGTGAACGGAACTCGCGTTGTTTTCTCGTTAACTGTTGAGTCTCAAATAAGTCGCTAGACGAAGAAGTTTCCTCGGCAAAGTAGTCAGCGCGCACAAGAGTAGTTTCGTGTTTAGTGCAACTACCCATTTGGTTTCGATGGCTGACATTATTGGAGCTTGACGCACAGTTTTTGGTACGATAAAAGAACCAAATCTCAACCGCGACGGATAGACCAATAATTAAAATTAAGAGAACCGTAAATAAACGCGAAACAATTGATTAGATTTTTTTAAAAATACTGTTATTATTAGAATTATCAATTATTTTATTATATGAATTAAATATAATTATTAAAACTACTTGTTTGATCGGCTTATACTCACAGAATAACTCCATGCGAACATAAAACATATTACGAATCAAGAGTCTTAGTCATAGCTAACAGAAATTTCACGCGAGTCCCTATATTTTCCCTTTGTGGGATTCCCTACGGCTACCACGCCTCCGTCTCTCGCATTTTTGTCATCGGTTGCGAGGAACGTGCACCCCCGACCGGATCTCGATGCCCACTTCCCATCGGCTCATGAATCTCTATAAGGCCGTCAAACGAGTAATTCGTTCCCTACATCTCTTTCTCTCTCTCTCCCCTTTTCTCTCACATCCAATACTACTTACCTTCTCCCACCGTCTCGCCTTTCTTCGTCCATCTGGAGATAATGACGGTTCGCTATGCCAATGAATAGCCAAAGGAAGGATGCTAAATTTTAGTACCTTGCATACGAGTGATCTCTCCTTCGTCAAAATGGTGGGCCACTGTGAGAAGAAAGATGAAATGGTTATGCGATGCGAAATGAAAAGATTTTTTTTTTTATATACGAATACTATTGTGCTATGCTATTGTGTGCGTTGAAATATTTACGTGGGCGACTGCTTTGTTATGTAAATCAGTTGCTCGGTTAATTATGATAGGCGTTTCGTCCGCTATGAAATTGCAATTACAGATTTGCAATATTTGAACGAATGTGAATATATTTCTAAAAAATTGCTTAAATATGCTGCGAATATTTTTAAGGAGAGACATTTGTTGTTAAAGAGACATTTGTTTGATATTTTTATGTGGGATAACTTTAATTCAATGACTGCGTTATTGGAATCACTGTCAATTTTTCACTACTAGACTTCTATTTAAGATGTCCCACTGTACTAATAATGTCATGTTTCATAGGCTTCCTCGTAGAATTTCTCACATTTTCATTACAAGCCGAAGGGCATAAGTTGCTAGGAAAGTTTCAATTTACATCCGCATTTGAATATACAGAGGAAACCCACCGAACATCGTAAAACTGTCAGGCACGCGGAATCGCATCCTTAAATTTCCCATACTCGCTACCATATCTGCACTCGCGCGTGTTGCGCTGTCCTATTCTTGGTTTCCGCGGTTAAATCATAATGGCGTGGCGTGTAAAATAAGTTAACAACCGCGATTAACTATAAATTCGCTCCTGGAATAATGTGAAAGAGAGAGAAAGCAAGCCGGCTAAAGGTGCGAGCCGGCTAAAGCGATGACGTTCTCGCGCGAGAATCTAATTACCATATCCAGCCTGGTATCGTTGCACTCTCTGCTCGCACGTGCGCGATTCGTTCGTGGTGTTAAGCGGTGAGAAATTGAAATAGTTAGCGGTTGCCATCGTCGTTGTTGTCCCGATGGCGACTGCCAATGGTCACGCAAACCACGTGTCATCGCTGCACTTCGTCAGGATGCATCAGCTGGACTATAACTAGCTGTGCAGCGTGTACATAATTGTTGCTGCTACTCCAAAATCTCCTTCGACGGTTTGAGCAAAATCTCCTTGGACAATGTCAGCGAGGAAATGATTGAGTAAAATTTTTTATTTATTAAATGAATTTTATATAAAAAAACATTTTATATAAAATTGCTTACTCTTTCTATCATTATTATAATTCTTTGTGTTGAATCTGCAGTGATTTATATCTGCAGTGATGAGGTGATAGCACTAACGACTCATTGATTCGCCAAAGATAACTAATATTATTTCCGCTTTCTGCGAAGGTGGTTTCTTGTCACATAGATAAAGCTTATCAATTTGTACACTCGGATGATTTTACAATGAGCACTGCAAAGACGATATCACGCCGATATCATCTTTGGACAGACCTATTGCGAGACTATTGTAGGCAGTAATAAATGAATTGATTGATGTCGCGTCTCACGCTTCGCGTTTGCGCAATCGGCTGTTTTGACGTTTATATTAGGGCGCTGGGAAATTTATGTCGCTCTCTCGGAAAATTGTTTGTTCCCGGGCCGGGCAAAACTCGTTAAACTTGTAAATCGGAACAGCGTTAAATGACGGTGATATTTTATGTTGCTTTGAATAAACGCTATCGGGTTTGATTTAAATTTCCTTTTTATGCTGCTGCCCACAAACTTTGATGTAAACTTCCTTCTAAAATGCTAAACTATTAACTAGGTTTCCTATTGAATATATCTCGGAAATACGCGCCCTAAAGAAATAGAAAAAGAAATAAGAAGATATATTTTCTCAAGAAAGGAGAGAATATATTATTCTATTTGTTATAAGCGCTCCAAGATACTTTGATCACCCGTTATGCGATTGCTCGTATATGATGAATGACGGCGATAAATCGCGCGCGAACCGATTACGTCCTTGATGTCGCGGCACGCCGCATCGCGCGTTCTCGCATCGTGGCGCGAGGCGCAAAAAGTACGACGCATGTCGGAGAAATTGCAATAAGGGTCGGACGGAAAGCTAGTCGACGGTATCATTTGGCGCGATAAATCCCCGACCGATTCGCGTTAGAGCGTGCGGCCGACGGCGACGTCGCTATCCGTCGCGTGATCAGCGGCCGCGGTCTGTAGTTGCATCTGCGTCTCGAATGCGTGCGTTAAGCATGCTTTCCGGGCCGTGCTCGCAGAAATTTATATCCGCATCGCTCACGGGCAATGATAAACGAGAGAACCGCTCGCATTTTCAAGCCACGACGTTGTCTGCGGCTTTCGAACCGGCTTCCCTTCTGACATAAACCAAGGGTTAATTAATTTCAAATTAATTGTCGTCCTTCCACGGCGTTACGGCGCGTGACCGCACCGCGTCGTATATTTTATACGTACGCCATTAGCATTCCCGTTGTGTCACTATTTTTAGTACGCGACACTTCGGCAACAAATTTAATCATACTTATGTCGACCATCGCATGTCTGAATTATTAGATGCCTCCGATAATTTAATAGGATTGACCGTTAATGGCTAGTCTCACTCTGATTCGAACGATGCGTCAATCTCGAATCTGCACGGATGTTCGATAAATGTTTCGAAACACGCAATTCGGCGACGCGACGTCACGTTTTTCCTTCGGGCCATTACTTTCACGTGGCGTCGATGAAAACTTGTTCCATTAAATCAACCAAAAATCATCGACCGTGCCTTCTGGCCGAATCTGTTCTTCGAAGAGATCTCAGGTGGTCAAAGTAGGTGGTGTGTTGGCGTAATGTAACCTCGAATTTAAGCCTTTAAATTTAAAAAAAGTTACAGGCATCGTTGTGAAGAATGTAAGAATCTTTCACAAAAATTTTAAAAGGTTCTCTTTTTATCGTTATTAATGTAAAAACATAGCAACTTATCGATTGTACACTGTATATTTCACGCTTTCATCATGTCTTCATCAGCACCATTAAATTTTTGTATACACAATGTTGTCAATGATTCTCCATATTCGAGTTTCATCAGCATACCCTGAAAGAAATGACGGCAATAATCTTCGATCAGCAGGCAACAACAGAATTCTTGTTCTTAAACATACGCGTGAAAATGGATCCTACTCGCTCACACAACACTGTATTAATTATAAAATTAATGGATGGATTTTAAATTATGCAGCTGTCTTTTATAATAACCAAAATTCAGTTAATATTAATTATCATAATTTAATGATTGATTATATGATAATTCTTTTTCAATTTTAAATTAATGTGTAGAATATTCTATTTATTATGATCATTTAAATTTTTTTTATTGTTAGCTAATTTAAAAACAATCATATCTCTATCAGTACGTATCTCTTCTAGAGCCTCTTTAATCCATTTTATTTTGCGGTCTTACTTGCATATCGTGAGCATGCATTAAATTCATTCCATCTGTTCGAGGTGGTAGATTAGTCGTCATTGACAGAATCGCGAGGCGATTCGAATATAATAAGCGAGAGCCGCGCCAATAAAAATGATTTACTGAACGATGTGTCAAGATAGCAACAACGTGAATTGAATTCAAATGAGGCTTCCCGCATGGCTCTAAGGATTATACCTGGTGTCCTTCGTAGAATTCTCCGTAATGATCCTAAATTAACCCGGTTGTCGATCTCGATCATATTATTACAGTAACAAACTTGTTTATAAAAACGCTAACAGCATTTCCTAATTTGTTATAGCAATTTATATTTTTATGAAAATACGTAAGTCTTTTTTGCCTTTTTTACATGACATTAGTAATAATTGAAACATATAACTTTATAAAGGAAGCACTTTATAAAGGAGTTGCAGCGCAAAGCATAGCTGTTTGAGTTATTAAAATTGCAAAACTTTAGTTAATTAAATTTCAAATTATCTCAAGTCTACATAAATATTAATTTGATAACACACTTTGTGACGTTGATACATATATTTATTTCCACCATCTCCTCAAGTTAAAAAATATCAATTTAAATTCACATGATTATTTATTGTATTTTATAAAATATAGTGTGCAAATAATATTTGCAAACATCATTTTGCAAATGTTCACGAGACAAAGGACGGACACTCCGGCGGATGAATTATATTATAAGATTGGACATGTACACATCGCCTTGCTTAGACAAATAATTACGCTCCGAGAATTCCAATTGAGTCGATAATTCAGCAGTCGTAATTTGTGCGATTGCGTTAGCGCAGAATGCTGTCACCGGAGAAAGACATAGAGCGTGACAGAGGCCTAAGGCGCCCAAGTGCATTGGCCACACTTGCGTCCCCGTGGCGCACGGAATGTCGGATCAAAGCGGACGATTCGAAAGAGGGAGAGAAAACGAGTAAAAAAACGGGGACGCAGACACAGGGCGAAAAATAAAACGCCGTGAAATTCTGCATATACGCACGCGGCGCTACCGGATACGCATCTCGATGGAGAGACCCATTAAGAGCCCCGCCTCATACCAAGGACCATCCCTCGCCCCCGTTTCGAGGCCGTTGCCACGTGTCCGGCTATGCCGTTCTCGCAAATACTTTCTCGCATTGCGCTCTTTGACGTGACGTAGCGATTGTCGGTGCACGGTATAAAATAGTCCTGTAAGCCGATCGAGAAGAAGCATACCGCCGTTGGAAACATCAGCTGGGATCTTGGTTGATCCCCATCGAATACGCGGATCTCTTGGGAGCATGTTGTTCTTGTCGGCACTATGTGTCGGTCTTATCGTGTTGTTAATCCTTCACTTGTCAAATCTTTGCTTGTTCTTCTTGAAAACAATTTCCGACTTTACCGCATATTATGCGTTCTATGTACATGAGATACAAGATATAGATACAGAAAATAATAACCGTTGTGTGAGAGAGATGCGCTTTTTTAGCTTGTTGTCTTCCTATTATCTTTATCTTCTCTGAACAAATATGAATTATCGATATCTCGAATATCTCGAAATATATAATTGGATGCTTAACACTTGGAGAACTTCATAATGTCGTGTATTTAAACTTTCATTTTCTCATCGTCATTCCATTCTCTACGAGTAGATTCAGATAAAGTTTTATCGTTCGCAGAAAGTTCAATCCTGGTTCTCGGGCGTGTTCTCGATTTTGTTACTTGTATCTACAGCTGGGTTCGCGCCTTTTTATTCTCAACATTGTTACTCAAGTTCGCTAGCGAGCTAAATAAACTTCTTACCATCATTCTCTTGCTTTCCTCTTGCATTTTTTTTTTAGCCATTGTAAATTCTATTCTTGAAGCTTTCACGCTATTAATAACTAGCTGATGGAATTTTATCAACATGTAGAAAAATTTTTAACGAGAATATTTAGGATATAAAATTATTTTTTAATTTTTTTATTACTTTTGTTATTTATTTTTATGTTTTTAGTTATCAAATTAACTATAAAATATTATTATTTTGTAATAAATAGTTCTTTATATTGTTTAGTAAGAAAGTTATCATTAAGGCATTTAATTAATTTTTTTCTCGTATCTTTACTTAATTTTTCACAGTATTATAAAATTGTAAAATTTTCAACAATATAACTAAAAAATTTATGATTTTCACCGAGATATTAAATGTCTCTTATCCTATGCATCCTTTCTCTTTTGCTCAAAAGTATTACGTCAATTTGCCAATGATCTGTGTTATGTCATGGTTGAGTAATTTGCACGCCTTAAATGATGCAATTCTCGCGGTAGGTTAGTCCTATGTCATGAGATCACTGAGAAAAAAGATTCTGTCGAGGTTGCGCCCTAAGAAAGCAACCGAGATGCCGACGGGGACCAAATAATTATAGCTAGTTGTGGACTTCCAGAAACTCTTGTGGTAAACTTAGTAATTGTGATGATACAATTGGTTTCCAAGAATTATACTTCTAACGAACGCGACTATTATTGCTTAAATTGCAATATAGATTTTGTAAAAGATTCATTATAAAAATGTTTTCACTAATTGTAATACAGATTTCATTAAGATACATTGTGCAGAAACATTTTCATTATTGTCAAAATTACATCACTATAATAAATATTAATACATCTCTTGTTCAATTTAAGAACAAAAAATTGAATTTTCTCTCAGAAAAATTAAAAAGAAGAATTTACATTACTATCGTACTAAATTATTATTATTCTATTATATTACATTTTTCTATTATATGAATAATCAAGTCAGAAATTTATTTCATTTTAATTAAAGATATTCATAATATCTTAAAAACTGATCGAACTCTAAATAATAAATGACCCGATGCATTGATAGAAACAGGAATATGTATGTAATGAACGATTCTTAACTCTCTTGTTGCAATTCATACTCGAGAATAGTGTCAGTCAATAATTTATGGCTGACGGTTGTTCCTTTAACAAGCTCCTTGATTTCCCACTCACGGAATTATAGTTCACGCGGGCGCCCGCAGATATTTGAGCATAAGAAGAATCCGAGGGAATTTATTTGCGGTTTAACTTATTATTACATAAATGCTCTCGTTCATATATAAGTAATTTTAATACGTATATGTATTTAATACCGATCAATTAATACGAAAAAATATAATAATAAAAATGAATTATTACAAATATATTAATAATATGGTTAAAACAGTGTAATTTTAAACATTAAATATAAAATAAAATTAAAATATACAAATTAATACAGCTTAAAATTTATTATGTTAATATGTTTTCTTTTCAGTTATTATTATTTTATTATATTTGAGCGCATTTTCCTCTAGAAGGCCGTGAGACCCCATTGTCACCACCACCTCCTTCGAGTTCTTCAGTTCAGACTTCACCTCGTGGCTTAGGCTATACTTGTGGTCCTATAGATGGATCCTTGTACGCAGTGGTACATCAGGGTGCTGCAGGAGGTGCTCGCGGCTCACCATTGACGGTTTCTATGGACAGTGGCATCAGTAGTGCACCGCCACAGAGACCTAGCCCACCAGAACCCGAGCCGGAAAATCAAGCTCACGGAGATCTCGACAAGCTTCTTCATGATATGATGCTTACTGTCGAGGTAATAATAATTACCAATTATCATATAACGTAAATAATTATATCTGCGATTGAAATACGAAAAGACTAATCAACTTAATCGAAAAGTATTCATTACTTAAATTATATTATGGAATTTTTTACAGTCTATGCCAGATCCTCCGACAGATGACTACAATCGCGATCGAAGTGAGAAAATGTACATCCAAGAAACGCGTAGCTACAGCAGTCACGGCAGCAGCCATCCAACGTCTACTTATTCTACTTTGAAGGACTCTTACAGGAGCTACGGGGCCGGCAAGGAATCAAGTCCACCTTACAATTCGAGCAGCAGCTACAGCACTCTGAAAAACGAGTACAGAGATTCGTCGAAGAGCATCGAGCATCGAGATTTTGACTATCGCATGTCTCTGGATCGAAAGATATCCGAATCTTCCAACGACTCCTATAGGAAACACACGGATTCCTTCTCGCCGCCTGGCAATATTGATTTCATTGACGAGGACATTCCGTATCACGCTAGGCAGACCAGCCAACCGTTCTCGTACGGCGCCACCACCGATATGATAAAGCATCAGAAGCTATCGTCGCCTTCGTTAGTGAGAAAGGCGTCTGCACGAGGTGTGGCACCTGTTGTAGATTTCGAGGACATTCTTGGCGAGAATTCTCGGAGACCCATCAGTCCCCTCAGTCCCAATACTCCAGATCCACCGCCAGAATTCGCAAATGGGCCCATAAAGAGTGGAACTGATCACATCGATGGGTGAGTAACTTTTCATCTTATAAAAAATTTGTTTATTATTACATAAACATTTACTGTTACATAAAAACTTTTTTAGTATAGATAAAATTATTAAATATATAAAAGGTAACAAGAATGTCTGCTTTGAAAGCATTTCGATATTTTCACTTTGCTAATTATGATTGAAATTTTGCGTTTATGAAATTCTATTCTCTCTTTAAGATATATCATTAACTACTCAGTTTTACGTATTTTTCTTTCAACACTTCTAAGAGAAATTATGCTTTCCCGAGATATACGATGCTTATTTATTTCATGCCGTTAATAACCGAAAACGGTTTCCTCGCGACGGATAAATCGCAACGTTGCGAAAGTAGAGATTAGACTAGGTTTCCGCGGACGTTGACAGGGGAAATCGCGGCGAATAGGCCGTATCTTTGGCAAAGCTTCCAGACTGTCGGCAGTACGGTGTCGTAATACACCGTCCGAATCGGGCACCGCAAAAGAACTCCGTTTATGCTCGAGAAAACGAGTAAAACGAGTAAACGAGAGAAAGAGAGAAGAAGAGAGTAGAAAGATCCACGAGTCGGCCATGGACAATTAATAAATTGTCGACCCATACGTGGTTACGACGCAGTACTTTTGCCGTGAATGGTAAACGCGGTCGTTGTGAGTCATTGTTCGTATCGCGAATAGAGAAAATTTAGCACGGCGAGTACATCCCCTTCGGCGGTTGAAAACACTTCCCGATTGACGTAGAAATCTCAAAATGCGAAATTTGTCAAATTTAATCAATAAATCTGCGCAAAGAAATTTTTTATTAATTGATTTTAAAAATTGATAGTAAATAATGGGAATTTAAGATAAATTTATTATTTATTGTTTGTTTTATTAGGATGTTACATTTTATTTTTTTAATAAATTGAAAATTTTGTAAATAAAACATTTATTTTATAGATATTTCAATTCATGAACAAAAACAGATTATATTAAAAATTTTTTATTTATTTGTAACAATTTATTTATTTGCAATTTTATTTTATATTTTATTTACAATGTCTACAAATGATTTTTAAATCTGAATTAATTCTTTTTATATAACTATATGTGGCATGTACTGACAGTGGAATAAGAGGAAATGAAGTTAAGTAGACATGCATAATAATGTTTCGAAAGATACTCGTTTGTTATATCGACTTGCCGTAAACGTAAAGGCATCCCATAAATGTGCAGTCACTATATAACACCATTCACCTTAAAGTCATCAATTTTTTTGTACAATCCGAGACATTCGTGGTTGTGGCACCGTTCCGCACGTCTTGCGAATGAGATCTCGTGCGTGAATGGAGGAGAAAGTACGATCGCGTAAAATGAATCTGTTAACTCTGCCCAGTTTGGTACAATTATAAAATAACACATACCGGTTCACACATTTATTTTTACTGTAATATCGTAAAAACGCGCCAAATTAAGAAACTGATGTTATTATGATTCTTTTTCTTTGAACATGAATGACTTTGTAATTTTTTACATATTCAAGAAAATGTTCTTATATTTTATAATTATATATTTTACATAATATATAATATATAATTACAATATATATTTTTAATTATTCATTAAAATGTTTCATCTAATTAACAATTATTTAGAAAGTACTTGTATATAATATTATTCAATTTTTGTTTCATCTGTTGTTCATTGTTTATATTATTTTTAGCAAATCAATATTGTCAATTTTAATTTTATGCTGCGTATTGATCACTTTCTCTCTGGGGTCTTCTCTTACGTTTTAAAGTCTTCAATCTTTAGCTCCTATTGCTTCGTTTTTTTTAATTATTCTAAGGAGAATGTAAAGCTTTGTGAAAAATGAAGCTATGAAGGATTGATGATTTCGGCCTCGACGAATCAGATATCCGTGTCGTAAAATTCTTGTCGTATTGCGTACCACAAAACGCCGTGAAAATAAACGCGCGACTTCTCTTCGAGAAGAACGATTTTGCACTGCGCCCAAGTAACCGCGAGATTTCGTGCGGTTATTTACGAAGAGACTTGGAGAGGAAACAGACGACGTTTACGGTCGAGAAGATCAACGAACGTTCGGCAGGTCCGCTTTCTCGCGAGTGAAAGAAACGTGACATTCTGAGCGTGATGACATCGGAGATCCTTACTTTATCTGTTACGATTCTTTCTGAGATAAAACGGGACGTCGTAATGTCGCGTTACTTAATGAATGTATTTTAAAATCCTCAAGGATTGCGACATCGGGACGGTCGTATCGCTGAGGAAAAATATGATGGGGCTTAGGACACGAAGGCGCCTATTTCGGGGCGCCGCGGATGCTCTGACATAATTATAAATATAGAACGGATGAGAAAGAGAGAGAGAGAGAGAGAGAGAGAGAGACGCATTAAATCGGCCCAGTGAAACCATGAATACATTTCATTCTGCCTCCAGCTCATTTGTCTTCATTTTACGTTACCTACATTTGATATATTAAGATAATACTGGAGATATCACACAAGTTTCCTGCTTATAATAAAATAATCCTTCGTCGACATGTTATATCAGAATCAATGTTACATTATTTGTCCGTTTCTATTATAAATCCTCAATATTAAAATATCATCAGAGAATCGAAGAGACAATTTATTTAAATTTATTTTCGTATTTGTAGCATTTTATCGTAGTTACCGTTTCTCAACTTTCATTTTGCTACTGTTTCTCTTTTATGTTATCAAGTACATTACGCTGAAATGTTTCTTTTTATCTGTTTTTCCGTTATAACTCCGGAAACTGCAGAGAAACGACACTCGGAAGCGGAAGTCATTGGAAGAGGTGAGGTATGAGCACAAAAGCCACACGTATAATTTTCTTCGCAAGCTCGAGGTTGCGTCGTACTTTTTTGATGGATGCGACTTCCATATCCCGCAGGCCAAACTTTTCTATTGCACACGGAAATCCTTCTCGTCCATGTAAAAATGTTTCTGACGGACGTAACACATTAACAATGTTCTTCACGAGACTTTTACATATTCATATACCTTTAGTAGTAACTTTGCAAATTACTCTGTACTAGATACAAGACAATGTTGCAAAGATAATACAGGTAGTAAGAAGTGACAATTTCTAGATAATAGAAGAAAAACTTATTTTTGTTGTTACACCAGTTTTACATTTATCTACACTTATCTGCATAGAAAAAAAGATATATTTTTTTATTTATATTTAATAATTAATAAACAGATTGATAAATAAATTTATGACATAAACTATTTAAGTGTCATAAACATAAAGTATCATATAATAAATTTTTATTATGTAATTTTTTAATAACCAACGAGACTCGCGCATTTCGTAAGTTAATGAGTTGCATTTTTTAATCTTTTTTTTGACATATAAACGACGAGCTTGGTTTAATTTAAAATTCACCCACGGGGCGAATTTACGCGCATTGCGTCGTTAGGCAGATGAGATCTCGACAAGCACACGCAATTGCGCTTTATGGCACGCTTAATTTGCGTGCAAGCCTAGTATTTGTTATAATTACTGTTGATAAGTACATACATTATAACCAATTTACTATCAACAATTTGGGATTAACTATTTGAGCTACGTGCACAGAATACTTAACAAGATAAGATTCGATAAATAGCGTTTCTAAAATGTGAAACTTAAATCATATCTGACAAAAAAATGTTAAATAATTTTGAGTGAGATGCAAGCGTTTACTATAGAACGATGGAAGCTGCATAAACAAACCAAAGATAGAATGCTGTTTGCTATTCATCATGAATAATAAAAAAGGCGCAGTATTCCGTTTCTCTCTGTTTTAATAATACAGCGTATCGAATTTGGTTTCCAAGAAACATAAACCAATATTTCAATCAATGATACATTTAAAATAAACGCGGATATTCGCGAAAGAATCGACGAATCGGTCAAGGTTGTTGCAAGCTCTCTTATATCTGACATTCTTAAAGTAATCCTCTCTATATTTATTATCCAAGACGCGAAACTTTTGCACGCCCTTAGTCATGTAAGTTTATGTGTCACAGGATAAAAAAATTATTTTTCTCTAAAGAAAGCATAAATCAAAAACGTTTTATAGTTTTATGATTTTCCATTGTAAAAACATTAAAGAAATTTTTGTAAAGCGAAATTTTTTAATCTAAATATAAATATAAAAAATATATCAATATAAATAGACAAATATAAATATAAACTATATGAAAATATAAATATACGAAATATAAATTGTTACGTTTCATTACATAAATATTGCAATAATTATTTTTCGCGTAAGAAGAACGTAATGTTTTGCATCATAGCGTTCGCCAATGACGATTTCGAAGATCTAAGGCGATGTGCGGTTAAGCTAATACTCTGTTCAAACGACAAATTCACTCGCGAGGCGCAGTTTACTATCCTCCTGGGGGTTGTGCGCGTTTGGGCGGGCATAAATTTCGTTATTGGAAAAAAGAAATCTTCCGTGACTTATGCTGATTGGCTACCGAGGCCGTATTATCTTGCAGAACGGCTGGATGTAACGTGTTCTCTGGAGCTACGAGTCGATGGCCCGGAGCGGCCTCATCGATCAGGGTGTAATTATCGGCGTCTATCGCGATAGGAGGTCCAGAATCCGACGTAGTAGAATTCCGCGAGTCTATTCGCGACGTGGCCGGCACGTTCTGACGAGCCTTTGTTATTGGAGTCGCGGTCTCGTGTTCTCGAAAGCGTAACTTCTCGTGTTCGTTTTCATTTATGTTACCGTGTAACTCGATAAGCCCTTATTACGAGATAGAAAAGTGAGAAATGTCGCAATTCCGCGTTATTCATAGCATGTCATTAAACGTTCAGTCTCGCAATTATATACTAGTCGGCAATCGATATTAGATTGGAAAATTCGAATTGATAACTGATATCGATTGACAATTTGCAATGAGAGCAGTTTACTGAAGAGCGTTCTATTTTTTTACTTTTAAGAAAGTAATTCAAATTTCTTGTCTTTGCGCACGATGTGCTCGACAATAAGACATCAAAGAATTCCTGATAAGATAGTTCCATTTCTTTTGTTACCATTTAGGTTGTCGTGGCTGAGACAGCAGCAATTGAAACTCGCTGCTAGGAGAGATGAAAGGAGCCCTGGCAAGCTTTGGCGACAAGAAACCGGAAACCGTGTCATCGGTGAACTTAGGAGCTTGCAAAGAGGAAGATTGAGACACGATGGTTACGCAAGCGATTCGGCAGTTCTTGACGATGATGACGATGTATGGGCAGTAAATTCCGCTTCTGGACAGGTAAAAAATAATGTCGATTAAATATCATTTAAAAGAAATTAATAATTCAATAATTAATTATTATTAAATTTTCTATTTGAATTTCTTTATCATAAAGTAGAGAATGCAATAAAATCTTGATATAATTTCTCATAATAACTAATACAACATGTAGAGAATTCGTTTGGTAAAGTTATTAATCCTAGAATGCAAGTATGACATATCAGAAAATAGAACGTTCATTTAATAAAAGATTAATGTCCTTGTTTAATAGTCCTTTAACTATTAAACTTCCATATTTATGTAATATCTGGAACTTCTCCTGCACAAATACAATTCATAATTGTTTCTCACAACTTACTGATAAAATAAGCCACTTGTGATTTAGACAATATTTACTAACGCGAAAGACAAATTGCGCATTCTAGGATTAGTTTTGTTGACATTTACCATTTATCGATTAGCCGTCGTCGAGAGCTGTTTCGTACACCTCCGCACCAGCTAGTCCTCTACTTCCGCAGAGATCGAGCAGCCGGAAATATAACGGCAGTGCCGGAAACGGCGTTCTCGGCAGACCACGAGCGGAGAGTATGAACGAACGACCGTTTGTTTCTGTAAAACGTGCCTACGAGTACCGCAAATACGATAGTCAGGTGAGTACACGTGTGTATTCAGATGTGTTTTGATCAGATGCATCCTTTGCACATTAGATTGCCGAAATCATACGCGCCGTCGTTTCGAATATTTAAATTGTGCATTATGATACGTACTGATTACACAGATTTTATGATACTGACGTGTTTTATAAAAAACGAACAAATGACCATATTTAAATTAATTGATTTAGGAATTTATGAATAAAAAATGCCATATAGATATTTTAACAGTATATTTTGCATTCAGATTATATTCAACTTTTATATTTCCCGGACATTAGAAAATTAACAACTAATGAGTTGAAATTGAAGGATGAATGAGGATAATATTGAACGAAATAAATAGTTATTTACGTAGAATTCGGAACGATGGTACGGTCGATCTTGCTTTACGCCAATAAGACGGCGGCAGCACGAACGCTACAATTTAGGCTCCATAGATAACAAGCTAGGGAAACTTCCTCAACAATGCTACCTTATAGAAATAGCATATAGTTAGACTCTAAATGGCAAGAAAACGGCATCTCTAAAACGTAGACCGTAAGACGATTACTTATCCGAGATAGAAATCTCCCTTAATCCTTTTTCATGCTATACTTTCGATGCATTACCAGAAAAGAAGCTGAAATTGTATAGTAAAATATTCGCTACATTTCCGATTTAACTACTGTATTTAATTACTGTATAATTTTGTTTTAAGTATATATCATATTAAACACATTTTTGTAGGAAACATTTATTTTTGTTTAACGCAGTTTAATACATTATTATTAATGTTATGTCAACATCGATTAAAAGGTTCTGCTTCAATTATTAATATGTCATTATCATAAAAATAATAACTGTATTATTATTGCACAGTAAGCGCATTTGCATTAAAAAAACAGTTAAAATTGCATAATAAAATATTCATCTTGTCTATTTTACGTTTTAACTATTTACTGTATAATCTTATTTTCTCGTGTTGCTTTCACAATTTTAGTTAAGACTATTTGCAGAATATAATAAAATAATACAATATTAGCGAAAGAATCATTTTTTTCTCCATCGTTCTCGTTCAACATGAAAAATTCCCAGCTGATGCGGCAGCTGCATTACGACTACGCCGTGTTAATTCGCGCCATTAATTAGCCCACGCAATTAATTAACAATAAATTGGGCTTAAAGCCTCGCTGGCGGGGGTAATCGAGGGCACTCGGAGCATAGGAGGAATCCGAAAGGATTAAACGCTGTTAGTTTGCCGGCATGTAGCATAGCGCTTGGCTTGCATTCCAGAGCCCTCCGACATCCCCTCGCTCAGCCTTAGTGGCCGCGCCACCCTTAGGGTTCGCGGCGAGCCAGCAATCGGGTTCCGCCAGCAACGCCGAGAGGCAGCAGCAGCAGCAGCAGCAGCATCAGCAGCAACCACCACGACCGGAGTCGCGTAGCGACAGTTTCGCGCGTGCGGATGCATTGCTGCGCGAGCATCGCCATCATCAATTGCAATCTGGAGTCATCAACAGCGTCATCAACAGCGATCATTCCGAGCGGAAACAGACGATCGCGATTCAGGAATACGCGACATCTAGTCGAAACGTGCGGCCCGAATCGAGGAACCGCGTTACTTATCAGAGCGTCGGGAGTTACAG